ACTGGAACTTAACATATTTTTCAAGTACATTTTATCAGTAGAGTTCCACAGAGAATATGTCTCACTGCTAGTTTTTCATATGTTTTATACACCTTAATTTTATTTCTGAATGGTTATGTGTAAATTGTAAATTATGGCGATATAACCTGTCTTTAATAAATGACTGACTGTCAATCTCCCTGTCTATGTTTTGATTTGAAAGAATCCAGTCTGTCTTTGTTTTCAAACTTTATTCATTTAGACATACAGTTTGATATAACAAAGACTAGAATATTATCAGGGAGCCTATTGGTAAAGAGTCTGGGCAGTTAAACCTCAGTAGTCTTTTTGGCAGTGAACGTCATCGTCAACAAGTGGATTAAAATTAAAGCAGTAAATAGATCATTCCAGGAAGCATGACATGTTTTATCATACAAAATATTGTGATGAATTCAGAAGCATCTAGAGAACACATTATTTGTATACATTCACTTTATTGCAAGATTTTCTGAAAGCAAGCATATTATTTGTCCTTTTTTTTTATTTTTATTTTTTTGCATAGTTCGAGCAGTTTGTCTATTTCCTCCGAAAATAGCAATGGTTACATGTGATAACAGGATATTCTGTAACTGAAATCCAGATTATATACATTGAACAATGTATATAATGTATATATTCTTTATTTTCATCATCCACAAATGCTACATCTAATATCAAATATTGGACACCGCCTTTTGGATGTCATTTCTTTACACATCAGATTCCAATTAATCCAAAAATATCTATGTTCTGCTCCTCAAACAATCCTCAAGAGCAATAAAATAAAAAAGTATTTTTTGTTAAAAATGCAAAACATAATTGAGTGTAAATATTTCTACTGTCAACTTGTCATTGAATATCCATGTATTTAAAAAATATGAAATGCCTCTTTTGAACATATTGCCTTTCAAAAAAAAAAAGTATTCTCTTAAATTCTTGTTTTGTTTTTGCGCAGTGAGAGCTGTTGTCTGCTTTCAATGTAAAAGTCAATTTTCTTAATTTTCTGTGCCATATTTTCTCTGACTCTGAGTATGGACATAAAATAGCTTTGTACAAAGGCAGGTCACTTGAAAACTGAAGTGTGTAATGGCAAAAAACATAAATAATATACACATATGAAAGGGGAGGTTTGTGCACATGTGTGTTGTTTGTGTATGTGTATGTGTATGTGTATATGTATATGTGTGTGGTCACAGTGTTCAAATCTGGGGGAAGTTACAATGAGGAGGCATTGCCAAAGGAAGAGAGTTGAAACAGCTGAAGACAGAAATTTTCATAAAGTGTTTTGTGAATATAGTCTAATGACATGAAATTAAAGTGTCATTGGCAAATGCAATTATGGAGTAAAAACATACTTTTGTAAAACTGTTTTTAAATAAAATGTATTCTGTGATCAAATAAAAATGAACTCTACTAAAACATTGTTAATATAATATGATTACATAACACATCATGATAATAAATTGAGATTTAACATTTCAGTTATTTCAAAAGATTTGGTTAATTAATGCATTTAGTGTATTCAAAATGAAACTATGAAATGAATGGGTTATGTACTAAAATATATTGATTTCAAAATGTATTATCTAATTATTTAATATTGGCTATTTTAAAGCTCCCCTCAAAGCCATGTGTAGACATTTCTAACCTTGGCAACCCCCATAGGTACAATGAGTCATTGCATTTCTTCGAACTTCAAACTCCTTTATAAGTCATGTCATTAATATGTCCATTCATCACGACATATAAAACACAGAGAAATGTTTCAGACTTATGGCACTGCATGATTGGGTGAAACGTTGTTCAGATATGTTACATGACAATGTTTTACAGTATATGGTCCATCTTAAATGACTGCAGCAATAGCTAACTCCTCTTCACACAGACTATCGCTTTTCTAGCAGTTACTCTTCTAAGGTCACTTCTATTTTCACTTTGACATACACTGTACCATTCCTAAATGCAAAACCAACATACTTTACCTATATATTTGTAGACAGTCACTGGGGAATTTATTGGGCACTCTGATAAAGTCTACTGAATTTGATTCTAAATGCAAAGGTATTTAACAAAATGTAAAAAAACAAAAAAACAAAACTGCACAAAGTGGTTTATGGTGAGGTGATCATGCCCCTTCAGGATGCAGGTTGAATGTCATTTATAATCATCTGCCCTGGATACAAGATTTCTGCTCATTGCCAACAATAAGTGCTGAAAAAGTTGAGACGTGAAGTTCATAAAGAGCAATGTACAGTGACAGTGTGGAGGTCAGGGTGGTGGATGGCTGTATATGAGTCCCTGTTACTCATCCCATTTTCTACTTGTTTTCTATCCTAATGCTTTCCTCGACTAACCAGATGACCATTATTTTTGTCTAAAGGTTAAATAAGTTAGAGACCTAACTGCACTTTAACCACACTGTAGGTGCCTTGAGCAAATGTTGAAGGAATACTGGATTGACGATCGGTAAAAAGGCTTCTGGACTCATATTCGCCCGTCTTTAAGCTCTGTTCTATCTCTCCCTCTAGTTTTTGTTGTTTTCTCAAATAGATGCTTCCTTACATCCAGATGCTAGACCTTTCTCATTTCCAGGTCATCGTTTATGTTTTGTTATGCCCCTTCAGTGTGTGAAATTAAGCCAATGGCACTCTTTGGCGTCTCTACTCTAACTTACTCCAATGTAAACCCATCTGTGGCAATAACTGATGCTGAGAGCTACAGACGTAGTATAAAGAGAGACAAACTCTGCATGAGGTGGGCAGGAGGGGTGGAGGATGGGTCAAGTTAACACAGTCCAGGAGTCTGCTGTTTGTGTCCTGTGTGAAACCAAAAGTCAGCGTTGTTTTAAAGTAGCTTTACGTAACTTACATAAGTATGCGACGTACTTAGTCACTCACCTGACATATTTACATCAGGTTACATACTAAAGGTAGTTTTAACCGCAAAGACTGATGTTTTTTCTACACCTTATCAAATAGTTTTGTTACCTAAACCTAACCATGATGTTTAACAACTAGGGTTGGTACTCGTTAGGATTTTAACGATTCCAATTCCATACCGATTCCTTCTTAACGGTCCGATTCCTTACCGATTCCTACATTATATTCATTATTCTTGCTATACTTAAACAAGTATATAATAAACACAAATGCAATCATATAAATACAAAAACTTTATTCTAACTGTTGCACAGTACAATTAGATGAAAATACGCATTTGTGTGTGGTGTGTATTTCAGATTTAGAGCTTGTATCATCTCCCTGAGAATATATAACAACAAAAAGTGATTCTCTGATTTCTACAGTAACACTATTACCTCAAATTAACCACAGCAATGTAATAAAAAATACTTATATGCATTCATGCTTGGGCACTGTTATTTACGTGACAACACCTGAACAGAACACACACACATTGGCTGTTTGTTTCTACCGCTCCCCTGGCTGGAAGCCTCGGACCTCCCGCCGCCCGCCTCCGCCTTGATTAAACGCTGAAAATTAAATAAAAGAGGGAGACAGGTTTTTCCTATTTTATCTTATTTTGTTATATTTCTCCCTCGGACCTCCCGCTGCCCACTCCCATCTCAAACACGGAGGTCTCCCTCTCCGCTGAGCACCCATGGCGCACGCCCGGCCTGTTAAATAGCCTGTAACCATAACAACTGTGTGACACAAACTCAGTGCTTTAGTAATTAAATAATGTCGGGCTCGGTCGGATTCCGACAGAAATATGGGGCCCGTGCCGCACTCTAATGGAAATGCACGTGACTTTTTTTTTTTTTTTTTTACAATCTAGGAACTGTTTGCAGGAACTGTTACTCCAAATGTGATGTAACCAGTTCCGGAACCGGAACTTTGGACCCGGTTCCAAAAAAGAACCGGATCCGGATCCCAACCCTATTAACAACGTTAACCAAGTGTTACAATGTGTTTCACCTGGTAGTCAGTTGTGCAGACAGATGGTAAAGAATACCTTTTGTGTCGGTATGAGAAGCTGAGGGGGTGTGACAAAGTGTCAGTATATGACAACCTGGGAATGAGAATGATCTGGTTACGTGCTCTTTTATGTTTGACCCACAAAATGGGGGGAAGGCATGTCACTTCCTCTCTGTAATAAGTTAAATATTTAATCTTTACAATCTGACTAGCTTCCACACTTAAATAAAGTGATGGGTCATGGTTTTGTAATGCTATTTATCTTCAGCTCTGCCTTGCACTAAACTTGGTGCTGTTCTCTTGTGTAGTGGGGGTGTAGTGAGTGATGTATCGTAGCAAAATGAAATTCAGGTGCCATTTAGTTTGACCCAGTCACATCAATGGTATTCTAAAGGTTGCTTATGAGTGTAACTGATAGCAAACAAAGTTGATAGGATGGTAGTAGTGTAGGGGATGGGGGCCCTTGGGGGATGGGGGTCCTTGGAGTCTTCAGCTTTTTACAAAGGCTGAAAGGCTTCTCTCTTTGTTTCAGTCGGTTGTTAAAGTGTCATAACATGTCAGTGTAGGCAAATATCCTCAGTCTGTCACTGAGCCCCACTCCTCACTGTGCCATGAAAACATGTGGTGGTTTTATAAGGCTGATACGGAGGTTAGACGGTAATGAACATTCTCCTGGCTTTTAATGTCCAGAAGCATGTTCAAAGACTCTCTGTAGGTTTTAGTGAGACTTTTGTCTACTAGTCAACCTCAGGGACATTTACATGGCCCAGCACCAAACTCTTTCTCTTGATTTCTCTTTGCAGCTCTTTTCCTTGTTTATCTTCAGAGTGGGCCTCTCATATGCAGTTTTGCCTTGTGAATTAACACTGAACTTCAGTTGAGAGATATCAACATAGTTCATCAGTAATCTTTACTTTGTAAAATATGTCCTGAGCTAAATTAAATACAACCCCAATCCCCAAAAGGTCAGATGTTGTGTCAAACATAAATAACAGAATGCAAGGATTTACAAATCCTTTTGTGATCTATATTCAAGTGAATACAATATAAAGACAAGATATTTAATGTTCAAACTAATAAATATAAATGTTTTTTGTAAATGTATACTCATTCTGAAACTGATGCCCTCAACAGGTCAAACAAAAGTTGAGAGAGTAGCAACAAAAGACTGAGAGAGTTGTGAAATGCTCAAAAACACCTGGAACATTCCACAGGTAAACAGGTACTTAGTAACAGATCAAAGTATCATGATTGGGTATGATTGCATTCTTGAAAGGCTCAGTCATTCACAAGCAAGAACAGACAGAGCTTTACCACTGTGAAAAACTGTGTGGGCAAATAGTCTTATCTTTTTCAATGCACAGTTGCAAAATTTACATATTTCACCATCTACAATCCATAACATCATCAAAAGATGAAGAGAATCCACAGAAATCTTTCCACTTATTGGGCAGGGCTGAAAATCATAAATTAGATTACTGTATGGGCTCAGAAACACTTTGAAAAAACACTGCCAGTAAACACAGTTCATCACTGCATCTAAAAAAGGAAGTTAAGACTCTACCATGCAAAGTGAAAGTGAAGTCCTCAGTTCCCAAACACTTACTGAGTGTTGTTTAAAAAAACGTGTGGCAGCCATCACTCATTCAGAATGAGTGTAAATTCACAAATAAAAAACGTTTGAACGTTGAATATCTTGTATTTGTACTGTATTCAACTGATTAAAGGTGTAAAAAAAAGATTAGCAAACATTGCATTAAATTTTTATTTATGTTTTACTCAGCGTCCCAACTTTTTTGGATTTGGGGTTGTAGAAATATTATACACCTTGAAGCTGGTAAGATATCTGGAGCCTTTAACAGGAGACATTAATGAGTTGATGAACTGGAGTTGGGGGCAGTGGGGCGGTTAAACTTAAAAGTCATAATAGCTCCCATTTAGGTTATAAATTTGCTCTTGCCTCCTAGGAACCACCTTAAGGTGCAAAAAAAAAAACACTTGTCCGGGATCGTCTTCATTATTCAGTATGTCCATTGAATCCTTAGAAAGATGCTCCATCAAACTTGACAGCAGCCAGGGCTTGAGCTACAGACAAAAAGAAGCACAGACAGATGGCTTAAGTAAGATACAAAGATACATTTTAGATTACCTGTGCCATTGGGTACTAAGTGATGTTTGCTATCATGGGACTAATGAAATTCTAATTTTGTAAGCCATTTTAGGGGAAATTTGTAAGACGCTGCTACAGCAGGACATGTTGGGGTTTTTTTATACAGCAAGGGCAGACTTTAAGAAGTCCTCATCTAGCTTGAGTAACACAACATATTCTAAGCTACAGCAGATGGCGTCAACTTGAGAGTGACAAGAAACTCTCAAGACAAGGTCCAACTTAGTTGTTATCTGAAGCTTTCAACTACACCTCAGCCTTTTGTAGTGGATAGTGTAGCTGAGTTGTGAGATGTTGAAAATGTTCAGAAACAATAATTGGATCTTGTGTTGACAATTTTAAGAATATACCTTCATGTAAATACTAGAAAATTTAAAAAGAATGCTCACACGTTTTTTTCCAGATTATGTACAAGATATTTGTACACAGCTAAGCAGGTAGTTAAATTCTGTTGTCTCTCTCACTTCTTGCAAACAAAGACAAAAGCAATGGGGAAAGAAAATAGATTTTTTGGGGGGTGAAATTTGGCTGTCAGAAATGAACATTTGATCAATGAAATCTATGTGCATTTAATGATGTTACTAGTTTGAGGATGATATGAAGCGACCAAAAATTAGTCATCACCAGCTTCAATGTATAAACATGAGCATTTCTATTCAAAACATATTTTGATCAAACACAATGTACTATACTGAAAACCCCAGAAAATGAAATCAGAAGAATCCTGCAAAAGCAGTCCTGAGAGGGAAACAAACACAGGGTCTAAACAGGATGGGAGAGGGTAACTGGCAGAAGTGGTGTGGTGAACGGAGACTCACCTTGTATGACTCACACCTTCATGATGTGGGCGGAGTTGGGGAAGTCAGCAGAGGAAGGGGGAGGGGCCAGGCTGGTCGGGGAGGTGGGGGGACTGGGGGCGCACTGGACTGGAATGAGATGGAGGGAGGTTGGAGGAGTGAACACAGGAAAATGGAAAGAAAGACAACGAGTGAACCAATCAAAGGGTGAGAAGTACGGTGAGGTAAAACTAGGGACACCTGTGCTTTCAGATGTCTGACTGTAAATAAAGAGATATCTCTGGACTTTTTTTAGGGTATAGAAAACAAGAAACTCTGGTGTCTCTAGATCACCATGTATCTTTTAAATGCATATTTAGATTAGGCTCAGCTCTGCATGTGTGACTCCCCTCAAGTCCTCAGCACTACTGAATTATGAGTTGATCTGAGACACTGAAAAGTATCATATCAAGTCAGAAGAGCTTCAGGATAAGGGGCACAGGTCTGTTTGAATCTATCGAGAAAGATGATTTGGACGCTGGACTCAAAATGAAACCTGTAATGCTAATGATGTTAATCAGTTCATGTTTACCACATATACCCTCTCAGTTTAGTGTGACAGCATGCAACATCTGTCAGTTAGCACTTAAGTCAAAGTACAGCTGATGCTAATGGAAGCTGTAAATAGTTTTGCAGGTATTTTGTCATAAGATCGAATATTGGTAAAATTGAAAGCTAGATCTTACTATGGTGCTACACGAAAAGTCAGGGGATCACCAAAGCGTTTAGAATTGTTCTTCTGGGAACCATAAATGTAGATGTTGAAATATTTCACTGGATAAGTAAAACCTTGTTCAGGTCCAAAGATCCCCTAATACATAAGGGTTCATCCTTAGGGGACCATGATTTTTTTTTGTATGATGAAACTTTGGCTATCTGCCTCATCACTGCTGAGGTCTTAGAATGGGCGTCCACACACTTTTCATGGTCACCCCTGACATATGTGTCTGCCTCTCTATATTTTCCTAAATTTACCTAATAAAAAATGACAGCAATACAGATCTACAAAAACACAAAGTCATCTGAGAGAAAACAAAGTAAAAGCAAAAACAACAAAAAACACACTGCTTCTCTCAAAGTATACGGTTGTTTAAGGGGGTATGGGTTAATGCATTAATGTGTGATATCTGATGACATCATGACTTCAAGATGTATGCAATGAAATACTGAGTGTATAACTGCTCTGTGTGTGTGTGTGTGTGTGTGTGTGCGTGTGTGTGTGCAAAAAACTTACTGACGGTAATGCTGGCGTACTCTTCTTCACAAATAGTGAGAGACACAAATAGTTTTTTTCTCTACAGGTGTATATAACTTTTAACTTATCAACTGAGCTGTCTGGGAGATGAGTGAAATGAGCCAATCGAAAGCCCAGTAGTGTTGTTATTTTTTTTAATTATTATTTTTTTTAATATCGCCCTGAGGAGAAATTCATTTTTTTCATTCCATTGTCAATTACACACAGGTCCGAAATACACACTGAGGACCTTTACATGCACTAAGTGGAGCGATGTCAGAGTGAGGGGCTGCCCATGGACCGGCGCCCCGAGCGACCCTTGCTCAAGGGCACCTCGGCAGTGCCCAGGAGGTGAACTGGCACCTCTCCAGCTACCAGTCCACACTCCATATTTGGTCCGGACAGGGAATTGAACAAGTGACCCTCCGGTTCCCAACCCAGGTCCCTATGGACTGAGCTACTGACGTTATTTTCCTTCACTGATACAGCAGAGGGGCGGCACGGTGGTGTGGCAGTTAGCACTCTCGCCTCACAGCCCCGGGCGTGGGAGCCCTTCTGTGCGGAGTTTGCATGTTCTCCCCGTGTCAGCGTGGGTTCTCTCCAGGCACTCCGGCTTCCTCCCACAGTCCAAAGACATGCAGACTGGGGACTAGGTTAATTGATAACTCTAAATTGTCCGTAGGTGTGAATGTGAGCGTGAATGGTTGTCTGTCTCTATGTGTCAGCCCTGCGATAGTCTGGCGACATGTCCAGGGTGTACCCCACCTCTCGCCCGATGTCAGCTGGGATAGGCTCCAGCCCCCCCGCGACCCTCAAGAGGATGAAGCGGTTAGAAGATGAATGAATGAATGAATGAATGATACAGCAGGAAGCAGGATGCCCCTGCAGCTGCTTGACGAGGGTGCATCAAAGAGACAAAATAGCACACATCTAAAAACAATATAACACGTTATGTTTGGACCTGTATTACATCACGGTTAACGCATTAATGCTGACAGCCCTAATTGTTATATATGATACAGTTGTGACCTAAGCAGTTATTACATCATACTGTGTATGAGTGTACTGACAGAGATTTTAGAGACTTACAACTTTGGTTATTAAAACATCTTACCAACTAACTTGCTGAGGTCTAGGAACTTGACAAAAAACTGATTTGGAGGCCAGATTTGGAGGCCTGAAAATGAGCGCACCTGAAATCAGTGTCTTGTGTGGGATGCCTGCTGTGCACCAAAAAGTTCAGTGCCAGTACTAACCTATCACTGTGAGACCCATGACCGTACACCACATCAGTGATCAAACAGACTCACAGATGGCTACTGGCATAGGAAGTATAGCCAAGAAATGGGGTGTGGGCTATAGCAAAGAAGCAAAAGCAACGGGGGCCTTAATAAATCATTGATCATGATTCAGTGATCAATGACAAAGGGAAAAACGCCAGCACTCTCAAATGTCCTTTTGGTAAGTTTAATTAACCAGCTTGGATGGCAGTACCAGTACACAGACGTTTCGACAGAAAGTCTTCCTCAGTGTGTCACACTCTGATGATTGATGATCAGTGTTGGGTAAGGGTTACTTTAAAAGTAATAAAAGTACGTTACTGCGTTACTTTTTAAAAAAGGAACCAGTTACTTTACTGCGTTACTCCCTGAGTAAAGTAATTCAATTACTTTAAAAGTACTTTTGAGTATTCTACATTTCCTATTGGGCAATGGACCACAGGGTGCTAAGCCTACATTTTTTTGTCTCCAAAATTAAAGTTATGGACCACTTGCCCTTCACTGAGATCCAATTATCCCATCACAGCCGTCACTTTGACCAGTAGAAACACAGAACGATCTGCTGCCGTAGGCAACTGTATGACAACAACACCCCAGCATTTTTAATATTTCCTCTAGGGATGTTACCACACAGAGTTAAAGGGGGAAATGATGGTGTGAAACAGCAGAGGCACTTTGTCAACCCACTGAGTTAACGTTACTGTCATTAGCATCAAGCTAGCAAACAATGGTACATCCTCACGGTCGGACATAAAGTAATAACATTAACAAATAGCAGCGGGGCTTTTACTCACCACAGCTGCAGAGGCTCCCAGCTTCATTTGAAACAAACTACATTATAGACGGTCCCTTATTTATTAATCCCTCTGTGTGTTTATATATTTCCTTTTTATCCACTCTGTTGTCTTTATAAAGTTAACATATCGCACCGTCATTTCAAACTCAACACTTGTTTCAAATTAAAAGCCCCTTATAACCTCGGCTAGAGAATCCCTTCATTTTCTAAATAGGCTTTTATTCTGAAACATTTGTCAGAACTTCCTGTGGAAGATACAGTAGCTTGATAGTTTACGTATGGCGCTTCAAATGTAGCTCCTGCCATCTGCTGACGCTTTTTAGGTGACTACAACAACATGTTGGCTGGCACATGAACAGACACAGTTCTGGCAGTGACTCAAATAATAGTGAAAGTAATAAAAATAGGACAAGAATAACCCAATGACATCACACACGCCGTGAAAGACGACCGGGGATAATTGGTGAGTACCAGCGTGTAGTGCGTACCAGGCATAATGCAAGTCCTGAGTCTCAAATAGCGAGTCCTACTCCACCTATTTAGACTCCACTGTAGACAACGGCAGCATTTCTCCGACCACGTAGCGAGCCACAAGCTCCGTGGCTTCTTTCAGACTGATAGGTTTAACGTTATCTCAGTTATTAGAACCAAACAACAGCTGTTGCTTTTTTCGGAGCTGAAGGACCAGCGTTCTAAAAGTAACGGAAGTAACTGATGTCTTGTTTGAAAATGTACTTAAGTATTTAATTACTCATACCCAACTCTGTTGATGATTAGGATAACTTTTTACTCAGGAATAAATCAGCAGTGTGGAATAATTTTGGTTTTCAGGAAGAAAATACAGGTCAACAGACAGAGCACAAGCTGTATGTTAACACTGCCATTTTGAGATAAAGTACTCAAGAAACACAATGTACCTGCCAGGACAGGCACCATAAGCTGCTCTGTTTTAACATTGTTAGCCTGATAAAACATGCATCATTAGACATATAAACCTGGATGAGCACCAATTTCCTTATGTTAAATTCAGACAAAACTGAAGTTATTGTTCTTGGCCCCAAACAACTCAGAGACTCTTTATCTGATAACATAGTTTCTCTAGATGGCATTGCTCTGGCCTCTAGCACTACCGTAAGAAACCTCGGCATTTGATCAAGATTTGTCTTTTAATTCTCATTTAAAACAAACCTCACAGACTGCATATTTTCATCTGCGTAATATTGCAAAAATTAGGCCTATCCTGACCCAAAAAGATGCAGAAAAATTGGCCCACGCTTTTGTTACCTCAAGGCTGGATTACTGTAACTCTCAATTATCAGGTAGCTCTAGTAAGTCCTTAAAACCTCTCCAGCTAATTCAGAATGCAGCAGCACGTGTACTAACAGGAACTAAGAAACGAGATCATATTTCTCCTGTTTTAGCTTCTCTGCACTGGCTCCCTGTAAAATCCAGAATTGAATTTAAAATCCTACTGTTAACTTATAAAGCTCTAAATGGTCAAGCTCTGTCATATCTTAGAGAGCTCATAGTGCCATATTATCCCACCAGAACACTGTGCTCGGAGAATGCAGGGTTACTCATGGTCCCTAAAGTCTCCAAAAGTAGATCAGGAGCCAGAGCCTTCAGCTATCAGGCTCCTCTCCTGTGGAATCATCTTCCTGTTATCTTCCTTCCTTTTACACCGTCTCCACATTTAAGACTAGACTTTCCTCTTTGATAGAGCTTATAGTTAGGGCTGGCTCAGGCTTGCCTTGTACCAGCCCCTAGTTAGGCTGACTTAGGCCTAGTCTGCCAGAGGACCCCCTATAATACACCGGACACCTTCTATCCGTCTCTCCTTCTCTCTCTCTCTCTCTCTCTCTCTCTCTTTCTGTCTCATTGTGTCATATGGATTACTTTTAATTTATTATGCTGATCTGTTCTGTACGACATCTATTGCACGTCTGTCTGTCCTGGTAGAGGGATCCCTTCTCAGTTGCTCTTCCTGAGGTTTCTACTGTTTTTTTCCCCCGTTAAAGGGTTTTTTGGGGGGAGTTTTTCCTTATTTGCTGTGAGGGTCCTAAAGACAGAGGGATGTCGTATGCTGTAAAGCCCTGTGAGGCAAATTGTGATTTATGATATTGGGCTTTATAAATAACATTGAAATTGAAATTGAATTGAAATCACCCCACCCCCATCTGAGTAAGAAGTGTAAATTATACATGTTATTTGTTAAGCAATGAATAGGGCTGCTAGGTTAATTTATGCAATGTAAAAGTACCTAAGCTAATAATGGTGAGCAGCAAAAAAACAGTTGTTTGTCTATGTTTCTTGACAGTTATTACTTAACTGAATTTGATACTATTGTTAAAAAAGAAACGGGTTGCAGCTTTTTCTGTATGTCATTATGTTTAACATAGACATATCATTGTCCAGAAAACAGATAAAATATCATATTGTGATGAAACTAGTGATTTACAGCTCCAAAAGCAACCTCTAAATCAGTAAATCAATTAAAAAGTCTTACCTTCCAGCTATACATTTTCTCAAAATGGATATTACAAGTTTTTGCTTGTAAAAATACCATGGCTGATTACTTTGGCAGAATTTGGATCATAAATAACACATAAATATCAGCATTACTTTTCAGAAATGATCTGGGTGGGGAAATAGGCATGAGGTTGTGTTGGGAGTAAATACTGTAGCCTGTCATGAGCTGTGTAATCATGGTGAGTGGTTAGTAGGGGAGGGTTCGTGATGTGGCAGTGGTGACTACGGCAGCCGTGTGGTGATAGTCCTTACCAGAGAGAAGGCGGCTGCGACGAGAGGCCTCAGCAGCCAGGGCACAGGAGATCTCAATGCGTTTCTCCTGCTCCTGCAACTGCTGCTGGGAGCTGACTGGAGTTCCCCCCTCTGCCGGGCCGTCCAGGATAGGAACCATATTCTGCAAGCTATCAATGAAAATAGACAGATAAACAGGAAGACAGGAAAATGGTGGCGGTTTTGTTAGTTATAGATTACCATAATGCTACATCTGACAATTATAACACATTATCATCTTTATATAAGGACATTTTTATATGTTATTAATACCTATCTAATCTTGTTTTGCAAGCAAGAAGTTCTACTGCTGAAACAAGCTATAATGAATAAATTGGGCAACCATTCTCGGTTCCACTGCAATCAAAAAGTAATGGAACCATTTCCTAAGATGAAGGCTTTTATACTGGCATAAATCATTTGAATCCATTCTCTTGAATACATGGCCTGTTGTCTTTGCATATCTATCTATCTATCTATCTATCTATCTATATATATATATATATATATATATACTGTATATACTGCCTATTAGAGGTGCCTACTTTTTTTTTATCAATTATAATAAATTATTTTAGGGAAAAAACTAATAAGAAATAAGGAAAAAAAAACATACAAAATGGCAAATCACTGACAAAGTCCAAACTCCTCATTAAGGCCTTTAGGGGCCAAAGGGCCCAGTGTATGTGTCTGAAAGACTTCACATTTTAGGAGCACAGAGTTAACGTCTCCCCCTCTGTGTGGATGTTTTATTACCTGAGAGTGAAAGTGTTGTGTTTTGCTTTGTAAAAGTGTACAGCTAATGGATGTTACATTGTTTCTGATAGTACCCTGCTGTTACGTGAAATGAGTTTTTAAAGATTTGGTGGTCTTACAGACGTTTGCCATCAATATGAGCATTTGACATTATGACATCATGATTATGATTATGGACATTATATAAAAGACATTAGCAGTCAAACATGTATTAAACCTTTACTGTTGTATTTCCTTCCTGTGTGGGGATGGTTGAGTGAGTCAGTTTTATGTGTGAAATAGCATTGTTGGCTATGACCACATATGTCATTTTTATTGGGGACAGATGTGAGAAAATGAGAGGCTGATGGGAAAGAGGGATGATCTGCTTTCACCAACATCTTACCTAGGTTAGGGGGGTCTCTTGGAAAGTACACAAGGGGACTTAGAAATGCAGTTTGTTAATACTGGATCTGTGCCAGTAATATGCCAGTGTTCTTTCATAACATTCCCTATAGCCTTAGAAATATACAAATGCTGAAAAGCACAAACCAATCTGTTCTGTTTCTGTTGGGTTAGTTGTAGCAGGGCATTCAGTTTGTGACAGGTTGGAAAAACGTGATGAGGCACTTTTATTCAGTATCTCCTTATATCTTCTTTGTCTGAAGTGACTTTTTTCTTGCATGTCCCAAGTGCTTGTAATGTCCACTGAGTATATATGACCCCTATTTAGCCCAAGGCCTTTATGGAGCACCTATCTATGGGGGGTTGGCAGGGGATACATACTGGTATTTTTCAAATGTATACCATAGTCCTCTTATTTGCAACTTTTGTATATTTTTAGGCTAGTATCTGTGTATATGCTTATTATAGTGTTGTTTCTTGCTAGTAGTTTCTGATGACAATTCGCATGGTATGTCACATGAGCTTGAATTTGCATTATGGGTGTTTCAGATGGTGACTGGATATTTTTTTAAAAGTCTGGGGAAGAGCCTGGTGCTCCAAACTATACACAGAATCAAAATCCTTTTAACTGGAATTTCTAGGTGTACAGATCTATTTCTGTCAACTCTACTAGAAATGTCTGTGATCCAGCACCCATCCTTGTGGGTACTGTGATGTGTGCGTCTTTTTAATCATGTTTTTGTAATGTCTTCAATCAAACCCACTTTGATTTGGCAATGAGGGTCTTGATCCGCTCCAGTTTCTTCTGCTTCTCCTTCTGTTCCTCTGGGCTAAGAGGAGTGTTATCCTCCTCGTCCACGTAGCGCTCCGGAATAAGAACCTTGTCAGGAGTCATCAGCTGGAACATATACACCTTTATAAATATGGATCCACACACATGTAGCCCACATGCATACAAATACACTGATAAACCAACATAATATCCCTTTCATAAAATAGAAACAGTGACCTAGCATGCTCTTTTATCAGCATGTTCAAATCTGCCTATTGTGTGTTTGTCATTTTATAAAAAAAAAAGTTATATTTTGGTGATTTAAAAAAAAACAGTCTGTTTCTTTTCAAGCATTTTTTTGTCATGTTTTTCTTAGTCTTCAGAAGAAGTGGAATTATTATCATTATTTGCTATTCTCTTTATTTAAACAGGGAAGGCCACTGAGAGCAAGGATGCACTGATTGCAGTACATTAAAAGCAAAAGGAACACATAGAAGTTATGGTATACATCAACAAATTAAAAAAACATGAACAACACGCAAGTTGCAGTATGTATCACAAGGGACAAAATCAATTCACAGAAAACACATCCATTAACATGGCTCTAATTCAGTCCAAAGGGATTTCAGTTGATTAAAAGGGATTACCTTGACTAATTTTACAAGCCTCTGCAGATTATTCTACTTATGGGGTGCAATATTAATTAAGAGCCAGTTTCCCAGTCTTGTCCACCCATAAACTCAGCTACATTTTAAAATTTTCAGATGATACAACCATCCTTGGACTTATCCAGGGAGACAACAAACCAGACTACAGGCAGCTGGTGGATGAGACGTTCACTCATGGGAAGGCTGACAGTTTTGTACCCTACACTGACAAAATGAAGGAGTTAATCCTAGATTTCAGGAAGAAAGCTCCCCACTCTGCAACTTCTGCTAATTTAGGCATTTTTTCAAAATAAAGCACCCATGAAAACTCCGGATCATATTTAACATCACAACATCAACATCACAAAATCAAGAGAAAAATCAAGAAATGGCCTACAGTGGTCAATGTCCGGCAGACAGAGAAATCTTTTCTTTGTTTGTTGATGTCTTTATACTTCCAGGGTTTCCACAGATTATTGCGTGACATTATGATCTCACGATCCGCCAATTCCAGCCGCATCGCGCACACGACGGATCCAGTGGACATCCAGCATTAGACACACATCAGGCACATACTCGCTTTACAATTTTTATTTATTTTTAGCATGTAAATTGTGTGTATCTCTTTTCATGCATTATAATGTGTATATTTTTATTATATTTATTAGGGATGCACTGATACCATTTTTTTCACACCGAGTATTTTCATTTGTGTACTTGCCGATACCGAGTACCGATACCGATATTTCTACTACAAAAATAACTATTAGGCTAAAAATGCAATGGATTGGAAGACAGGTTTTATTTTATTTTATGCTTCTTAAAAGAAATGATAATAAATTAAATAGGCCTACAAATAAAAATGAGTAAAAAATAACTGACATTTCAAACAAAAAAGAAACTTTTTCAGTCTAAACAAAAAGCCTGGGGTCATCCCTATATTCCCCGGGTTCTATGTTCCCCGATCGGGGAAGGGTCCTATGTTCCCCGCTTTCCCCAAAAGGAAATATGTTCCCTGCTTTGTATGGGACCGGGGAACATTGAACCCTTTTTAAGAAAAAGGGTTCTATGTTCTCCGCTGTTGCCGGGGGACATAGAACCTATGTTCCCTGGGTCCTTTTGGGGAAAAGCGGCAAACATAGAACCCTTATTATTAAAAAGGGTTCTATGTTCCCCGGTCCCACACAAAGCGGGGAACATAGGACCCTTTTGGGGTCCCATACAAAGCGGGGAACATAGGACCCGGGGAACATAGAACCCGGGGAACATAGGTACGCTCCCAAAAGCCTCCACATTGGCACTGTCTTCACAGTTGACAAAATATCAATGACAGTTGACAAATTAAATAAAACGTATTGTACAGTTAACACAGTTAACTTAATATATCAATGAAACTATTGCATGATCTCCAATCTAAATTAAACAAAATATCAATTTAAACTAGAACTGCAAGCAGTTATGAACGGGGGCCAAGCCCCCCCCCCGCGACTCAGTCCCCGCGTCCCGCAGAGCCCATGGAAGTTGTCCCTGAAGGACGACAGGCTCTGGGCGAGCGCATGTTTATGAATGTGTCATTTAAAATGTGGAAGTTACAGGCAAAACTGCCTTTGCATCCGTTATAGAGCCACCTATAGACCGATTTGCGATGAATTTGGGAGCCTGGGCTGCCTCCAGAGACCGGACTTTTTCACAGCATATTCAGAGGACATGTAGCTAGCGGATCATGAGGAGATGTTTGCTGTATGTGACAAAAACTTTTCAAGCTTAGGAAGACTTAGAGAGCCTTTAAGGCTGCCATGATTGATTCTTTGCCAATCTGCATTATGTAAAAAATAAATAAGTGAAAAAACAATAACAGTAATCCCTTTAATTGTCCAAGAGGTGGGTGTTTTGGCCTTAAATAGTAGCATCAACATCAGGACGACTGGGATTAAAATTGATGTCAAGCACTGGGACATAATTTCTAGTTATGGTGCCAAGTTTCATTTCTCTCACTCATTCCAGCTTACGGTAAATTAAACAATGACATACAGTCAGGTCCATAATTATTTGGACAATGATACAGTTGTCGTCATTTTGGCTCTGTACACTAACACAATGGGTTTTAAATGAAACAATGAATACCTGCTTAAAGTGCAGACTCTCAGCTTTCATTTAAGGCTTTTTTCAAAAATGTAGTATGAACCGTGTAGGAATTACAACCATTTCTTCACACAGTCCCCCAACTTTAAGGGCTCATAAGTATTTGGACAAACTAACATAATCATCAATTAAACAGTCAGTTTTAATACTTGGTTGCAAATTCTTTACAGTCAATGACTGCCTGAAGTGTTGGACCCATAGACATCATCAGATGCTGGGTTTCTTCCCTGGTGATGCTCTGCCAGCCCTTTACTGCAGCCATCTGCACTTCCTGCTTGTGTTTTGGGTGTTTTGCCCTCAGTTTCGGCTTCAGCAAGAGAAACGCATGCTCAGTTGGATTCAGGTCAGATGATATGACTTGGCCATTGCAGAACATTCCACTTCTTTGCCTTAAAAATGTCTTTGGTTGCTTTTGCAATATGCTTCAGGTCAATGTCCATCTGCACTGTGAAGCATCATCCAATGAGTTTTGAAGCATTTAATTGAATCTGAGCAGATAATGGTGCCCCAAACACTTCAGCTTTCATCCTGTATAAATGTATATTTCATGCAAATAAAGCCTTTTCAAATCCCAAATGATTCTAAAATGATGACTTCTTTCCAAATAGAGCTATTCAAGTTATTGCAATACATATCGCAGTATACAAAATCGTCGCATTGTCAATTTTGTCTAATATCACGCAGCCCTCATTCAATTTGACTCACCAACACAACTGTTAGACTGATGATACACAGAGCAACTTTTTGAGCAATGTCAATGGGCATTACTCTGTCTTACCAGGCAGGCACAGCTTGCACACAGCTTGATTCACCCCTTTAGTTTCTATTTAAACTTTTGTTTTAACTTAGTAACGGATGAGATTTCAAATGTAGCAAAGCACAATACTTCAGTCAAAATTTACTTAAGTAAAAGTAAAATTACAGATTTCAAAAACTACTGAAAAAAATTACAAATTACACAAAAAATACTCAATTACAGTAATGTGAGTAAATGTAATAGTTACTCTCCACCTCTGCTTTTAGATTAAACACAGAAGTCGTGTAGTTAAAGGTGGTCACCGGCCATCTTTGGTTACTGGCTCCCTTATTTAGTAATCATTTCTTTTTTGATAGATTTGTTTTGTATTGCATCAGTTAATATGTTGTCACAAGCACCACAGGTATTTATAGTTAATTATTCTTCATGAAAAATCCCTTGATAAAATTCATGTTGTCACAGTATCTGACAATTCATAACATTTGTGCTGTTCCTTACTCTGCCACTAACTCTCCTTTGATTCCAGAGCCTGCCACTCTCACCTGCTCTGCAATAACCCTGCTCTATCTCCCAGATCACCTGACTCCCACACTTGTGTATACACGGCACGGGTCTATTGCGCTTGTATTAGCAGCCTTGCCTGTTACCTTTGGTTTGTTTCTGGAAGCCTACCTGCACTTTTGGACATGGGCCCTGCTGTGTTTTGTTTGCCTGGCACATTGTCTGCTTGTTGCCATCCACAGTCTTTCACATGGACTCGGCCGTGACAAATGTGCATGGAGAGCCGAAAATGCATGATGTGGGAAAAATTCTGCCATGAACAGAATGAGAGTGAGAGAGAGTGAGAGAGAGAGAGAGAGAGAGAGAGAGAGAGAGAGAGAGAGAGAATGAGGCGCAGTGGTGCATCAGCTTCTCACCTCTTTGCTAATGTCCAGGTCATAGGGTTCAACCTTTAACCGTCTTAGGCGAGCGATTTCTTCCCGAGGTGACTCCTGTCCCTGGCCTCGAACCGCTGCCTCCAAGTCTTTAATGTCGATCTCGTGAGCTGTTAGACGCCTACGAATCTGTCCACAGGTTGTCCACACACACACACACACACACACACACACACACAGAAATGCACACTAAATCAAATGATCTGCAGGCTCAAGGATGAATGACTTGAATGAAACATTTGGTGGCGATTGCTGCTTTTCCTTCACCCCAGTTTACACTTCTACATTGATATACTTTTACTGCTGAGAGGTTCACTCTGGGGGTACAACCCAAGATTTGTAGAGATTATTCAAGCCCAAGCATCGGAGGCAGTGTAAATCCTATTGAAATCACAAAATCTGACCAGACGCTGTGGAACATCCTGGCATTTTTTGGCATAGTACATTTGACATTCCATGTACCGGGACATACTGAAACCTTTTCTGGCATACTGAGTTGTATAATAGTATAGGTATTGGAATGCACAGTTTGTGTTGTGTGGTCCACACGGGAAGTGGAACAATACTTGTCATGTCAAGTCACACGTCATGCAGGATAGCATATCTATCTATCTATCTATCTATCTATCTATCTATCTGTATGTATGTATGTATGTATGTATGTATATATTTGCTCCTATGCAACCACTTTCAAGGACTGAATATTCCAACAGAGGTTAAATGACAGTGACTCAGAACTGAAGGAGACTTTTAGCCCATCTAACATTTGTATGGGGGTCCCATGCGGGTAGTAAATGAGCTGAAAAATGTGCCCTATATGGGATTGTCCATGGGTTCCATAATGGCCCCATGCCTATTGCCAACACAGATGGTTTCACTCAAGTGGGCCCAAGATAAGATGTCCATTTTGGGACCAGTTTGGAACTTAGTACCCAGGAAGACATAGCATAACCCATGTGGAGCCCACTTGGGTAAACCCACCAATGTGGGCAATTGGCATGGGGCTATTATAGAACCCATGGACAATCCCATATAGGGCCCTTTTATTAAGCTCACCACATGGGGCCTACATACAAATGTTGACTTGGACATGAGAGGGAATATGCCTTCAAGAAGTGAACTCCAAATAAACTTGTGGAGATAACATGAGACGACTTTCATCTTAGTTCCTGGTAGGTCACAGCCGTCAGAGACAACTATTTCTGGTCTTTGTGGAGTAAACGTAAACAGGTTGTATTGGGTATTTGAACAATTGACAAATGCTGTTTTGAGGGGACAGCTTCAGCTCTAACAGCCTCCACTCCTCTGGTTTCAGGCTTTCCACCAGATGTTGAACCTGCTGCTCCAATTTGCTCCCATTCAGACACAAGATCATTAGTGAGGTCCAAAGCAGAGAAGCTTCCCCTAACTACTGCCATAAAGTTGTAGGCATATGTTGTCTATTATCATCATTATTTTAGAAAACATATAGCTCTCAAAGGGCCTAGTAATTAAAAAAACAGAATAACTACCAAAAGTGTACAAAAGTATGTGCATTCTTGTGCCACAAAGGAGAAAAAACAACTGAAATACTGAGGCTCTCCTGCCTTTATCCTCACACTTCTGTTTCATGTGACTGTTACATACAGCACAAAGCCTACACTCAGTGCACAGGGTGACATTTTTTTTTTTTCTCCAGCCAATATCTGCTGTTCAGGTTGATTGCTCATGTCAGGGTAAATGGCTGGAGGCTGGGTGGGAGGCGCGGGTAGTGAGGTGTGGTTGGAATGACAGAGGCGATGGCAGTAATCGTGTTTGTCTCACAGTGAACACGAGATACAGAGCGGCCGCTTAGAGATCATGTACAGTAAAAAGCAGCTCCTTTTCTAATTGGTAATTCTTTCATCTCCTGGGATCGATAATCCCCAGCGAGTGAAGTACTCACAACAGCAAAACAGAAGAGGTCATTATAGTAGAAACTCTGCAGCACATACCAAGGGGGGGGAATAAGACTAAGAAGCTGTACGTGATGCAATCTTAGATATGCAAATGATCAACTTTTAAAAAGGAAATTTTTGAAAAGAAAAACAAAACTCTGCTGGAGTACAAAAGCACTCTCTGAAAGGAGAATGAAAACATTAAAATCATTCATATTTTGTGAATTTGTGAATCTTCTGAGCAGGGGTTGAAAGAGATCACATTTGGCTACGTTTAGCCAGCTGGTGGGAGCCACACTGTAGGGAATAAATGAAGACACACTTGAATAAAACGTGCTTACTTCTTTTGAGATGTTTCTGCTACAACAATTACCAGACAAAGTCAATGCTGTGGAAAGGTTGCAAACAAAGCATAGACTCTATATTCCAGCGTGCCTTCTCATTATTCTTCGAAGTCTCGACACTTGCGTGAGTGGTGAAGTAATTATTACAGGCGGGTAGTGGAATTTATATTTTTATTCTCAGTGCTGAATATGTTTATGAAAATCACTGACTTTTGTGCTCCTTCTATGAGAGTTGATAAGCAGAGGACTGTGCATTGCTTCTATATGACAGACACGGCTGTACCACAATCAACAAAAACACTCACAGCTGTCCAACTCATCTCATGCATCAACATTATACTATTATACTGATTATACTGTCTCCACTTTTATACTAATGGCTTCATCAGAAAATGCCTCTTTGCACCTCAGTCTTTTGTTTAAAGTATTACCATAAACAGTATACAATTTTGTAGTTCAACTCATGACACTATGATGCACATGAATATTGAAACTGAAGATTTTCGGTCTTTCAAACTGCACCCTAAAGCTCTGTTGTTGTCAAAAATACTTTTAAAACACATCAGTCAGATACACTGTTGCACTGGGTGATATATTTCTTCATTACCAAGAACACAGCACTAAAGCGTATAAATAATAGTCACTACAGCACCAAATGTGGATAAATCCACTGCTGAAAATAGTCCCCCCAAAAAGCATTTTTTCTTAATTAAAAACTACAGTTTGCAGCTATTTCAGGAAATAACAGCCTTCTTAGAAATGAAACTATATATTTGTAATGTCACAGAAAGGGTGAGGAAGTTTTACTCTCAGTTCAGCTCACTGTTAAGCTGCAACTTTGCTGTTTTGTTCACTCTCACTGGTCTCACAATGATATTTTTGGCTGCAGCAGGCAGCTGTTTAACAGTNTTTTTTTTTTTTTTATTATTATTAGAGCACAAACTTCTTGTGTTTATTTGAATTCATGAACAGTAGTAGTGTTAAATGTGCTGTCGCTGACTGAACACTGGTTTTACTCTGCTTGCACTCTGTATTATAATGTTTGATCATCCTATGGTTGGTCATACCACTTTGTAGTTGGCTGGAGACTGGCCCCCTGAGAGGTTTAGACTCCGCCTCTTGTCCCTCACAGAGTTGCTCTTGTTGCGTCGGATTCGCTCATTCTGCTCCTCCACGCTCATCTTTGACTTCACCTCTGCAGGAAATACAGCACTCTTTGGACGCTCCTGTCACAAAGATGTGGCACAGAAACATACATTTATTAAGTCAATTCCATTATAATCAACTGAAGCTGCAACACTGACTACAGAAGCTGTGCTTGCTTGTGCAGGCTCTTCTCTGTTTTCTTGCAGCTGGTCTATTTTTTCTTCACTGGCTCAGCAACCCTCAACCGGTAAAAACTACAAAGAACTGTGTAAAAAATGGTTGTGATGAACATTTAAATAAATCAATCAAAACAATGCATCCTGTTGTTAAAATCCAGTTAATTCATTCTTTACCAGTTAACATAGCCTACATTTCCAAACCCTGCATAACCAACTGCATTATCACTTGACAAAACTCCATAACTCCATATACACAGTGAAGCTGTCATTAACCACAAGTTACAGAGACAGAGTCTGTGAAGCTGGTAAAAAAACAAACAAACAACAAAAAAAAAAACAACCTGATGACATGACGCTTCACGTCCATGACCCATGTATTTTGGCCCTTAGAAGCATGGCTTACACTCATGAGGCCATTTAGGATAGAAAGTAAGCATAAATACAAAAGGTAAGAGGGAACGAAGAAAAAAGGAAAGAAAGAAAGCAAGAAAGAAAGAACGAAAGAAAGAAAGAAAAAAGTATTATTTGCATGTAGTTTAGGTTGACATACCCTGGAGATTCCATCGGGCACTCTGCCATGAGGGCAGGAAACTCCAGCAGAGCTGCTGTGTGATTCATCGGTGGGGGACTTTGTTCTAGGTGGGACAATGCCAACTGGAAAGGAACACAACAGAGGAGTTCAAAACCATGGGAAAAATGGCAGAGCTCTCAAAGCTAACATTATAAAGCACTGTTTGTGTACAGTCTCAGCTCCGAAATACATGAGACACGGACATGATGCGTCACACAGGTAGAGCAGGATTTTTTTTTTTACCTGCTACACAAACTCCGTCTCTGCAGCTGTGGTTCCCTCGACTTATTGTGTGCCTACTGAGTTTTTCAAGTGAATATGCAGTCGGTTATCCAGAGTTTAGAAGCTTACAGGTTATTTTAACTGGTACTGAATTCATTAACTGGATGTTTTTAACTACAGGATACATTGGTTTGATTAATTTATTGAGCACCAATTGATGCATTGATTTAACTGATTTATTTTAATGTTAAATACAATAAACACACACAGTGTTGCTCTGCTGCTCTGCATTGCTTCTGGTACAATGAGGTATTCATCCTACCAGGGGCGATTCTAGGATCAGAGGTTTAGGGGTGCTGAGCACCCAGAGAGCTGTCCGGCCAGATAAATTTCAATGTTTTGTACATTTTAACTCAATTTCACTCCCACATTTGTGAAAGAAAAGCACAACACTTTTTGGGAAAGTCTGTGACTAAACCATCAAATCTGATAAAGGTTATTTAAATGCTGAGCCACAGCAAAAGAGGAATGGATTGGAATCATAAAAGAAACATATCGTAACCCTAATTTCTGGGGGAGGATAACTCATTTTGATACAGCAGCTCCTCAACATACACATAAACAGTATGTATGTTTCTGGAGTAAACCAGCCCCCTATAGTGAGTACCAAAAATACCAAAAATGGAACTTGGACTTTAAAAAAAAATGAGGACTGGTAATGATAATAATGTGTTGGTATTGAGTGGTAGAAGTTAAGAAATGTGCCACATATCCTGGTTTAAGCCAGGTACTTACACCACTACTGCATATCACCCACGCTGGAAGGCAGCGCATTGCTCTGTGCAGATAGAGCGCTCAGAGCCCGAGTCGGGGAAAGGTGGAAGGGATGGGGTGGATCAAACCATTTTTGAGGCAAGGGAGGGGGGCGGGGGTGCTGCTGTATTTTTGTTGTTAAAATATTACGTTTCAACCAAGTACTGTATGGTTTTGACACTTTTCTAGCTTGTTAAAAAAGGACATACAGTAAAAAACAAAATTAAAATAAAATCACTCAAATTTTAGGGGTGCTGGGATTCAATTTAGCCCAAAAATGGGCTAGAAACGCTTATGCATCCTACTATTAAATGGAGAAACCTCTGTCCCTCCGTCTGTTTCTTTCATTCTTTCTCCATGTTGCGTGTGTACCTGTGTGCCCGTGCATGGCCCCACACAAGTGCGTGCCTCTGTGCCGTCAGCCAAAACTATGCTCCACGTATTTTGCCATAAAGCATGTTTCTAAATACAGTGTGCATTGTTTGTCTTACATTAATAGTTATTACACAGTGCATTTACAGTGCTCTCATTTTGCATCTCCTCTAATATACTGTTTTTGAGTTCTTATTCCTCTATACATAACACATCCCCGGGTATGGACCAGTTTAATTTAATTATTTTAAAAACAACACACTGTTCTTTGTTGTTTTTACCAGTTTGAAGGCCAGAGAAGAAAAAATAGACCAGCTGCATGAAAATAGAAAAGAGCCACAAACATGGATTCTGCGGTCACTGTAGTAGCTTCAGTTGATTATAATGGACTTGCTCTGCTGCGGGCATGCTGCAGCAGACGTGTTGCTCCATGTGCGTGCCCAATGTATTTTGGCCGTCACTTCATTGGATGATACTATAACACCCCAAAAGACTGAATTCTGGACTGGATTATTACTTGTATATTTCATCTGTAATTTACAAACCTTTACTCGAAGTAGTGTCATCAGTGTAATCACATTCTCAATGAGGCTCGGTGTACCAGCTCAGGAGTAAATTGCTAGACTATGATCAGCAGCTGAGAATAGTTCAGTAGCATTATAAGATGGAAGCTTGATCTTAGATTGTTGTACCTTTATTCATGATGGATTGTCTGTCCTGGACCTGGTCTTGCACATCACTGACATTGTTCTGTTCTCCAAACTTGGGCTGCAAGGCAGAGAACTGATATTATTTGTCAAGCATTCATGTTAAACTTAAAGATAGTAAAACATTCCAACACACATCCAATGCTGCTGATTACACAGAATGCATTGGATAATGCATTATTGATGAGGGCATCATGTTAAAATTCTTGTAGGTAATGTTCAGTTTGGCCGGGGAGGCCTGGGGCTTGGCTCAGGCAAACCGGTATGGAATAAAGCAGGTCTCAAAGATAAAAGAAAGCTGGTCATGGAACAGATATGTAGACAGGAGGAAATATTATATGGATAGTGCACCCAAAAATTAAAATTCAGCCATTATCTATTCACCTATATGCCGAGGGAGGCTCAGGTGAAGTTTTAGAGTCCTCACATCCCTTGCAGAGATGGGGCTAGCAACAAAACTCCACCTAATGGAGGCTGGGCGCCCCAGATTAAAACGTCCAAAAAACACATAATTGAAATAACAGAATATCTCCATTCTGCTCATCCATAGGGATCCAAGTGTCCTGAAGCCCCGACATAAAAAGTTGTTTGGAAAAACTTCATTTAAACTCTGTTTTTAGCCTCATTAGCTCTAACTGCTTCTGTGTACACCGAGCTCATGTGAGCACGTCAACACACATGAAGGCGGTGCCCATGTCTCACGGTCTCGCGCAAGCGCACACACAAAAAGCTTAGATATGCAGACTTAGGAGCAGAAGCTGAGCAGCGAGGATCAATCAATCAATCAATCAATCAATCAATTTTATTTATACAGCCCAATATCACAAATCACAATTTGCCTCACAGGGCTTTACAGCATATGATATCCCTCTGTCCTTAGGACCCTCACAACAGATAAGGAAAAACTCCCCCCCAAAAAAAACCTTTAACGGGGGAAAAAAAACGGTAGAAACCTCAGGAAGAGTAACTGAGGAGGGATCCCTTAGTGACATCCAGAATGGCCGAGTTAGCAAGCTGCAGTAATAGGACACGAGAGAGAGAGAGAGAAGGAGAGAATGTGCCCGGTGTATTACAGGGGGTCCTCCGGCAGACTAGGCCCAAGTCAGCCTAACTAGGGGCTGGTACAAGGCAAGCCTGAACCGGTCCTAACTATAAGCTTTATCAAAGAGGAAAGTCTTAAGTCTAGTCTTAAATGTGGAGACGGTGTCTGCCTCCCAGACCATAAAAGGAAGATGATTCCAAAGGAGAGGAGCCTGATAGCTGAAGGCTCTGGCTCCTGATCTACTTTTGGAGACTTTAGGGACCACGAGTAACCCTGCATTCTCAGAGCGCAGTGTTATGGTGGGATAATATGGCACTATGAGCTCTCTAAGATATGACGGAGCTTGACCATTTAGAGCTTTATAAGTAAACAGTAGGATTTTAAATTCAATTCAGGATTTTACAGGGAGCCAGTGCAGAGAAGCTAAAACAGGAGAAATATGATCACGTTTCTTAGTTCCTGTTAGTACACGTGCTGCTGCATTCTGAATTAGCTGGAGAGTTTTTAAGGACTTACTAGAGCTACCTGATAATAGAGAGTTACAGTAATCCGGGAACTGCTCATTGGTTCGACAACCCATTGTTCCGACCATATTAAACTCATTGTTCCGAAGTCCATTCCAAAATCATTATGATGCCCTGTGGTTAAGGTCTGGTTAGGTTTAGGCACAAAAACCACTTGGTTAGGGTCAGGAAAAGATCATGGTGTGGGTTAAAATGAAAAAGAAAGTGACAAACACATAAGCCATGAGCCTGCTCCACCTCAAGCCAGTCGCGACGCACCATATGCCCGCCGCGAGCCGTTCAGCGCCGCGGACAGTCGAACTAATGGGATGTCGAACCAATGGGCTGTCGAACCAATGACATGGACCCCAGTAATCCAGCCTTGAGGTAACAAAAGAGTGGACCAATTTTTCTGCATCTTTTGGGGTCAGGATAGTCCTAATTTTCGCAATATTACACAGATGAAAAAATGCAGTCCGTGAGGTTTGTTTTAAATGAGAATTAAAAGACAAATCTTGATCAAATGTTACTCTGAGGTTTCTTACGGTAGTGCTAGAGGCCAGAGCAATGCCATCTAGAGAAACTACGTCATCAGATAAAAAGTCTATGAGTTGAGTTGGGCCAAGAACAATAACTTCAGTTTTGTCTGAATTTAACATCAGGAAATTGGTGCTCATCCAGGATTTTATGTCTTTAAGGCAATTATGAAGTTTAGTTAATTGATTACTTTATTCTGGCTTCATAGATAAATACAACTGTGTATCATCCACATAACAATGAGTCACGTAGCCTGTCCATAATGATTAAATGTCACACTGCTAGCTTGCTAACGTCAGCACACGTAACGTATGGTAACGTTATATTACACAGTGTTTAATGATACAGTCTGTTATCTCCCTATTACTCTAATCTTTCCTGCTTATCGCTCAAACAAATGATTAATTTCTAAATTAATATCGGTACTCAGTTAAGATACCTTCATCAGTTACCGGAGGCCACTGTCTAACATCATCAATCCAGCTATACATGATGCTGTCATTGTAGAGAGTCAGTTCACAATGACAGCATAATGAATTGATGACTGACACATGTCACCGCAGCAATGGCGCCGCCGCAAGATGGCGGCATACACAAATGGCTCGCCGAATTCGTCTATATCGTGAGAATGCATTAATGACTTTCACTGTGCTGCTTCCTAGTGTGACTGTGCCAACTAGCATCACCACCAAAACACTACACAAATAGGCACTAGGACAGTTTGAAAGCTGATTGGTAGTAATATGATAATAGTGGGGTATTAGTTTCATAATTAATAATACAATGCCATTAACAAAGTAAGAACCAGGGCATATCTTAAATGGGTATACCTAGGTGATATGAGACTGAAAAGTATGTGATAGGGTAATTCCGGGCCAAAAGCAATGGAAAATAATGTGAGACACATTTAAAGATAGCAACAAATACAATCAACATTTGTATTACAAATAGTAATATGGTGACAATAATGGGGTAATAACCTAGATTACACCAAACAACAAGAGGCACAGTGATTACCTGAAAACACATATAGTAGTTTCTGTGTAATAACCATTAAAGCAAATCTTACCTTTCTTGCATTTCACACAGCACTTAGAAAAAATTTGAACCTCCACAACTCCCGCCTCCCTCCAAAGTCCCATCCCCCTCCTCCTGCAACTCCACCTCCCTCCAAAGGCCTACTCCCCCCTCCTCCATTACATCCTCATTAGATCTATGATAGACGTAGGCGTTAGCAAGGTAACGTTAGATACACGGAAGAAGAGAGCAAGTGTAACATTACAACCAAGACAGTCATTGGCAACCCCGGAGTTTTAAAACTCAACCGGAGTCAGTAATGACTGATGAGTTTTAGAATAAGTTTACAGTGCCACCACGGAGCTTATCAGATGATGCAGCTTCCCTGTCTGCTCTATGTAAGTGTTAGCCCCGTTAGCTCAACACCAGAGTCTGATATGCTACCATTCATCCATGTCTCAGTGAACACAAGGACGCAGCAGTCCCTCACTCCTCGGTGAGTGGATCTCCACTGTTGGATGTAATCCACTTTTGTGTCCAGCAAGCAGACGTTTGCCGGAAGGACGCTGGGAACAGCTGGTTTGATGGGGTTGGCTCTTAGCCTAGAGCTAACCCCTCCACGCTTCCCCCACCTCCGCGTCCTGTCACAGCGCTGCCGGCGTCTCCCCGTCGGGACGGCTCCAGGCAAAACCATGGTCATCTCAGGGCAAGCTCAACGTAGCAGGCCAAGCTTGCTTCACATCCTGAGCTCTCTCGGTCGTAGCGTTAGATCTCTGCAGTGGTTTCTAATGTCTGTTACAAACTCGCGACTGTATTGCACTGAAGAATTTACTTCTTGTTGCACCGTGTTTACTTCGCCGGCCGGTGTACGCAGACGCTGCCACCATGTTGATTCAAACTTAGAGGCAAACTAAAAATATCTGTCCAGCAGAAACTCTGCGACCATCTCGTCCCTTTTTAGCTCAGGATGAAGCTGCATCAGTCTTTGCCATTGCTCAAAAGCAGATCCGATATTGACCTGAGTTTTGGCTCTTGCAGCATCGAGTTCTCTCTTAGTGTTAGCTTTTTCTGCAATATTCTTTCTTTTGCCAACTGATATCCCTGTTGGAGCAGCTAGAGGTGGAAGCAGTGGTCTGCATTTGTCTGCCATTGTTACGGAGAAAAGTTTATATCCATAAGTTACTAGCATAATATTTGTTGTCTCACAGACTCGGGGGCAGGGATGGGGGGTGTGGGGTGGATGTTACGCGAGCGTCAGTCGGAGGCCTCCACGTGGGGAAGACAGACAGGACAGGAGAAAACTCCAAACAATCATTGGTTGGAGTTTTCATAGAACCATATGAAAATGGTATAATCATGAGTTTTTATTTCTGGTGGAATTCACTTACATTTTAGTGTGCCATCAGCTTATTATACAACAGTTAGTTCCGACCGAGTAATTTGATTGGATGAGAGGCATTCCACGAGAGCTGATAGCTATAGAGTACAACATCACTGGGACATAACAGTGAAATTACTCCGCTCACAGATGTTATAAATATAAATACAACCATTAATTAACCAACTGTCACACTTGCTACATTGACGCAAACTGACACTATAGCGTTACACCAAGAAGATGGATATTTTCCCCAAAATTACATTTGAATTAAATTATGAGTGGTCGTCAGAAGAGGACGAGGAAAAGGAAAGCCAGGACTATTCTGTGCAGACCTCCAGGTGTGTTTGAATCCGGCCAACATCCAGGTTTGCCAACGCTTTATCAGCTGAACTCGACTAAGTTACACAGTTGCAGATCAATGTAAATACAAAGTAGCTTGTGAGTTCCTGGCGTGTGTGCTGCATTACCTGGCAACAGACTGGGGGAACTGTTTTTTTTTCGCGGGGCTACATAACATACTTAAATAATTTATTTCATCACCTTTTGTTAACATTTCTTTACTCAGCATTGCTGTTTAAGCT